ACAAATAATATTAAACATATGTCTTCCACGTAAGAATAATGTGAGTTCACATATATTTATTTCATATATATAAATATTAGATAATTATGTAGCCACGTCAATTGATAAAGCTTATCATAAACTGATAAATTTTACGGTCTTTATGAAATAGATGTTATTTGAGGTCAATGATATACATTTATAAATATTGGAACATGGTATTTTTATACAACTGACATAGAACATAGATAAACAATTTAATTAGCTTAAATTTCTAGGTCGCTCGATTATAGTAAATGCTTTTTAAACATGAAACTGTTTGTAGACAATACTTATTTTATTTTAAAAATGTACTTCACAAGAAAATGTGTTTGACACAAAATTTTTATGAAAAAATCGCAGAATTTTCTCCATTAACGTCATTCGTATAAAACACTGACTTGAATTTTTTTTATAAAAAACAAGATATATTTTAAAAGGTCAAGTTTTTTAGAATATTTTGAAGCGTTTTATTAAATATCACTCACTTTTTAAGAAGAAAATTATCCAATCCATCAAAAACAGCAAACATTTTCAATCTTGTCCAAATTGTGACCTGAAAAATAATACAAAATTAATATTTTTTGGACAGAAAAATATTTTATTATTCAACCAGTTTGTGGTTTAATAATTTTTGAAAAATGGCCAAGTTGTTTAAAATATTTTGTATTAAATATAAATATCACTTACTTTTTCAGAAGAAAGTTATCTAATCCATCAAAATCAGCAAACATTTTCAATCTTGTCCATATTGTGCCCTTAAAAATAAAATAAAATTAATAATATTTGAGCAGAAAAAAATTTATTATTTGACCAGTATTGACAAAATTTTGAAAATTATTTTAGCTTCTCATCAAAAACTATTTTTATTTCTTATCTATACATTTATAAAACATTCCTTTAATTTAATAATTTAATGCCCTTTTAGTTTAAAAAGAAATCAATTACATGGGGTGTAGTAAAAAAGAAATCCATTTATAAAAGATTTGACTTGTTTTTAACTCTGTACATTTAAAAAAATAAAAAATTTAGTATATAATTTTTTGTTTTGAAAAGAAACAATGATCCACAAATTATTGATCAGTTTTAATGTGAATTAGTATAGAACACAAAGCAAAAAAATAGTAAAAATGTAACAAAATACTAGGTATAAAAATGTATATATTAATATTAAAATATTTTGAATCAACAAGATACGACTAATTTACAAATTAAAATGCGAATCAAATTACAATTTTTAGAATATTTGACTAATTTGAAATTCAAGTACAAAGCATCAACATATAACTTCTAGTTTCAATTTAAAATTCTGGGTATTCTTCCTATGACAAACCAAAACCTTGCTTTACATCATGGGTGTCAAACTAGCGGCCCGCGGGCCGCATGCGGCCCGCAGCAGATATTTTTGCGGCCCGGCTTCCCGCATATGTTGACAAATGATAATATGCAATAAATAACAATTCAATGAGCAAAAAAAAAGAAATATGCAATAGAAATATGCTTCTTTATTAAATTTGTTTTATTAATGGATGTATTATTATTATTATAGATAGATTTATGTTTTGGAAGAATTAGTGTTTCACTAAATGACGGTCTCGATGCAGATCGAAACGTATGGATTAATGAAGCATATTTCTTAATTGCTTCAGTTTTTTTTTATTTACTGCTACTACCCGAATCAACAGACTCATTTCAAAGATATAATAATACCAGACACACATATAAATATATATATATAGTTTTTTTGCGGCCCGCTTGAAGTTAAACCCTTGCTTATGCGGCCCGCTTGGAGTTAAACCTTGCTTATGCGGCCCGATTGCACTTTTGAGTTTGACATCCTTGCTTTACATGATGTCATTCACATAATTACAATTTTCCAAAATTTTGCAATGTCCATGCGTTGCAGGCGATATGCAGAGGCGGCGGCGGCTCACGTATAATATTTGTTAGTTTTGTCATTATTGCACGTTCAAATACATCAACAATTAAATTATACCCGACACACAGGCTGAATAATACGGGCGAATTTGTGCTGGCATTTTCGAGTTCGTTTACCTCGGACTCGGTAATGAACGTACGCACGTCCACCACTTTGATATGCACAGAGACCGCCGCCGCCGCCGCCTATATGGAGGTTAATCCGCATCAACAAGCAACCGCCGGCACCGCCATTTGGACGAGGAGATAGGCCGTACACACCCCTTATGGAATTTTAGGTCATTGTTTAAATTACCAAGCCATTTTAATTGATAGTTCTGCTAAAAGTTTTGATTAACGCGATTTGAATCATATCCGACATGTATAATTTGCAAAGTATATTTTTTTATTTTCTCAACTAGGTCGGGGTGATAAATTAGTCGTTCGTTCCATTAGAATACTAAAAAATCCTGTAAATATTCCAATGATTTGCGAAGTATAAATTTTCTTTTGTTTGGACTAGACTATAATGAAGTAACAGTCAATGCCATAATTTAGTCGTTTGTTTCATTAGAATTTAGTAAATGTTTCTTAATTAACTAAACGTTCCACTAAAACTAATGAAACGTATATTCGTTACTTTCAATATTTATTTTTAAGTATACCGAGTTATTATATGGCCTTATAATATTTGAAAATATTATAGATTAGTTAATTTTACACAAACTTGTCTAATACAATTTACATTAATTTCATCCTTTAAAAGTTACAAAAGATTTGTACTTTTAGAGCACTTAAATTAATATTCTACACTCAATATTTATTTTAAAGTATACCGAGTTGTTATAGGGCATTATAATATTAAAAAATATTATAAATTATTAAATATTACACAAACTTGTCTAATGTTTATAGTTATAATATTCAATTTAGGTTTATTTTAAAAAAATGATTTGTTTTCAATAATCAATTTATATTAAAATTGATCAGTTTGTATAGATTGTTTTATTCAGTTAGCTACACTGATAGTTCTTTTTGCCCTACAATAATAACCTGAAAGTTAAATTTTTCATTTTTTAAATGTACATTTATTAATTTATGATTAAAAAAAGTCAAATATCTTTAGAAACACGAAAAACGTCTAAAGTGTTGCATTAGCTCAAGAAATAAATCGTACGCCAAATATTGTATATACAAACATTTCAATAAAGCTAATTTGATTAAAAAAACTTGTATTAATAGCAATTAAATTAAACATGCAAGTTAGGTATATCTGGTTTTATATAAATTAATTAATATGACAGTATTTGCGTTACCATAGTGATCGTGATAACCATGGAAAAAACAAATTTTCTATGAAATAGTCAAAATTTGTTTGATTGAACCTAAAGCATATTTTCAATAAATATCAAAATATTATAAATATCAGGAAGATTTGGTACTATTAATTATAGTATGTGAGTATAGAAATAGTAAAAAATATATGCACACTGTTTATTCATAATAATTTCATGAAAAATACTATTCTAGCTCTTTCAGTTGTTAAAAGCAATCAACATATCAGTGAGTATAAATTAGTTGTGGTTAATTCTGACTAAAACAATAATGTATTTATAAAAAACAATACGGCGATTATATTGATATTTTATATAAATACGAAATTTAAACAGATAAGTTCAATTGAATACTATTTAATATTCATTAGTTATATAATAGTTAAAAAAAAATCAAAATTATTTTTTAACTATTACAGACTAGACCTCTAAACGCCGAATATAACTTATCACATATGCTAATAGAAACATTGTCTTCTGATTGTCTATTAAATAATAAATAAAAAAAAAACAATATTCTAAAAAAATTAAATTTTTAAAATTTTCAATCAAATTGCAATAAACACTAATTAACAATTATTAGTTTTTTTTTTTTTTTTTTTTTTTTTTTTTTTTTTTTTTTTATTTATTGTTTGAACAGCAATCAGAACTCCTATATGTTCTATAAGCTGTTGGTTAACGACTTAATACTACTTTTATTTCATGAGAGGCAATCCATCGATTAACCATTCTCTTATGTGTGGGATATTTTTGATATTAGCTCTTACGTCTAATAGTTGCATATGATTGGATGTTGCAGCTATGTCCACGAAGGACGATTTCCACTTGGAATTATATTATGATCTATAATCTCAAGTGGAAATTTGACATCAAAGCTGCCTGATGTCGGGCTACGGCGGTAGCGGGAATCGATCCAGCGAGCCTGGAACTAGTGGCTGCTAGTCCACGCTCTAACCGATATCGCCACCGCCGGCCCAATTATTAGTTATATGATAGTTCAAAGAAATACAAAATTTTCAAAAAAAAACTTTTAAAATCAATATTAAAAAATAAATATATTTTTTTCAAATTTTCAATCAAATTCAATTAAATACTAATTGATAGTTATTAGTTGTTTGATTCAAAAAAAAACAAAATAATTCAAAATTTTCCATAAATTAAAAAAAACATCGAAATGATCAAAAAATTGTTTTTCTCAAAATTTTCAATAGAATTTAAAGCTTTTAACAAATTTAAATTGCAACACGTTCGAATAAAATTACAACCTAACAAAAATATAATGTTATTTCCATTACAACTTACTTTTAAAAACGCTTATTCATTAATGCATGTGTACATGTATCAAATTATAATAAAACGTACCATTCCATTTCAAGAGTCGCTCGTAAGTCGTAATTCGTACTCATCATATTGCGACGAACACGGATCAGCTGTAATAGTAAACGACTTCTGCGCGACGTTATATACGTTACACCGCATCGCATCGCATCGCACCGCGCCAAGTTGACGTAAACTGTAGCGCCACATCGGGTATTATGTCCATGGCGAGGTAAGGGACAGAGGCGGCGACGGATGAGGACGGATGACGCGGACGATACCAGACGCAAAGTCTTTTAAAATGTCAACTCGCCTTCCGAACGGCTCTCTCAATCGATTTCCGGGCAGGGGCGTCCCCGGGCGGTGGGGATGGAAGCCGACGGCTTCGTGCGTTCGGCCGACACTGCCGAAAGCCGATCGTTCGCTCGCTAGAGGGGAGATGGGAAACCGTCTGGCGCGTCTGAGCAGTGGAACGCCATCGAGAGTCAGTCGAGGCGAAGTCGCCGACCAGAGCGGTAATATTCAATTTTCAATAAGATACATATATATACATAGTTATATATATACACACAGCCAAACAGTGTTCACAAATTTTGAGATAGAGACACAAATGACTCGAAGTAGTTTAGTGTATAATAGTTTAGTAAACGTACTGAATCGTTGAGACTGGTGATTATAGTGGTTTATGATTAAAATTTAAAACATTTGTATATGTATACTTTCATATCAAGAGTGCTTCTATCGCTCGTGTTATTTTTGTACTAGGCATATATTTTAAGTGTTTATTGTGCATTGAAGTGTATCGGATTTTGGATGGATATTGGATTTTATCAGTGTTAACCAAGGATTATTTTTTCAAAGTGTTCTACGAGATGGCGATGACGGCTTGTTATTCCAATTACGCCGATTTGGCACCGACGCATGTTCAACAGCAGCATCCGCAACAGCAGCAACAATGCTTTGCTACCAATGCTGCCACGACGGTTTTGCAGCAGCAGCAACAACAGATGCAACAGCATCCCCAACAACAAACTAGGATACAACCCGTGCAACAAAAGGATTACAGTATACCGTTGCACGTCGATTGTAGTGTAGAATATGAACTTCCGAATCAGGCCAAACCGCCGGCCGGTTCGCGTGTCGAGCCGCTGCTCATGATACATCCATGCTACTTCCGCAAAATGGAAAGTCAAAGGCGTAGTCCTTTCATCAATAATATGCCGCCGGTTACGAATAGTAGTCGTTCGTCGAGTAGTTCAAACGCCGCTGCGGCCGCGGCTTCGAGCAGGAGACGAGCTGCGGCAGTTCAGCAACAGCAATTGGTTGCGCAACAACAGCAGCAGCAACAACAGCAATTGTCGCACCAACAACAATTGTCACAACAGCTGTCGCAGCAACAACAACAGCTCGCTCAGCAGCAGCAGCACCATATGTACACGCAACAGCAACAGCAGCAACACCAAGCATCTTGGGAACAACAGCAACACGTGGTTCCCGCTATGCCCGCGCTCGTGCCGATCGCGGCGGGCGCACAAGCCATGTCGATGTACAGCAAACCCGTAGGAAAACGTGATCTTATGCTGTCCGGCGGCTTGAGTTATACGACGGATACATCGGCTGTTGCGACGGCGTCTAGTATACCCGGAGTGCATTGGGATGCGGAGAGGAGTCCTTTGGCTGCGATACCGCGGGACTATCAGCAGTCCGGTCCCGAGCACGCGGCCACGGTTCATCATCAGCATCAGCACCATCATCATCATCATCATCACCCGCAGCATCATCCCGAAAAACATCAACAACAGCAACAGCAGCAACAGCATCAGCAGCAGCAACAACAACAGCTGCAGCAGCAGCAGCAGCAACAACAGCAACACCAGAATACAATACTGTCGGGCAAATATCGGCAGTATTTGCGAGCGCATCGCCTACATCCGTACATGGAGCGCGCGGCCGCATTTCAACCACCGCCTGCACTGCAGCAGGTCTCATGTTACAACGTGTGATGAACGAACGTGTCTTACTACAGGAAGCGCGACGGGGTTGTATTGATCCCGCCCCGTCTGCATTTATATGTGATAGTAGAGTTATAATATAACGAGATCCCCTCAAATACAAAAAATATTAAAGAAAAAACTAATACAAGATAATAAAACAAAACAAATTCGAATCGCGAATATTAATGTGTTGGTGTGCGTGCGTGCTTTTGTCGATGTGCTGAAAAAATGAAAAAAATCTTGGAGTGACAATATGATGAAAATGTGGAAGCCGATGGAATTATTCCCGTGTGAGACGATCAAGTGTTTAATTTGTTGTTAAAAAGTGGTGGCGAAAACGTTGTTTATCCGAGGACCCAGACCAAAGATTCAACCAAGATCGGGTCTGTCTGTTAATAACGCTTGTGGTGTGAAGATTCCAGCCCAAATTTAAGGAAAACTAAAGTGATGCGCCGCCGAACGCGATCGGATATATATTGTGTATAAATGTATATAGATATATAAACTAATAAGCTACGCTATATATGTACAGACTAGTCATAGAAAAAATACGCTTAATGAATTTGATGATGAAATAAACACGTTATTGTTTTTATAGAAAATTAACGTTGATTTTTCTTGCGAAATCGCGCAACATTCCCCTCCGATCCGTAATTTTCTCTTTCAGATATGCTTGCTTTACATTTATTTTTATTGAAATGTAAAAATGAACAAACTATACTCAGTTTTTTGTACATGGTAAATTTTTTGAAATTACAGACAGTAATCTCGCTTAAAAATTTTCTATTTGAACTAGCAAAAATCATGTCATAATTATGTTTTTATTTTATACTGGAAAATTTTGTTGTGAAGCTAATAAGTGTTTTACGATTTTACAATACTTATTAAATGCGCCAACTTTTGACGGAACTTGCTATAACAAACTTTAATAATTTAAAAAAAAAATCGCGCAACAAATTTCACATTTTTCAAACTTGAGGTAACAGTGTAATTATTTTTGACTGTGGTCTTAGAAATTTTATTTCCGATTACTGATCCAAAGTTTAAATTAACAAAGTTTGAAAAAAAATATCCGAATTAACCGAAAAATAGTCAAAATTTCACTAAAGCTCTAGGTTGCACTTGAAAGCTCATAATTTTCAATCAACGCTAATAATTTTTTTTATAATTTTTTTCACGACAGTTGCGCTCAATATTATCAGACGTTGAGTTCTGGGACACCCTGTATATTAACACATTAAAAAATATACAAGGTGTCCCAGAATTCAACGGGGTGATAGTATTGACCGTAACTGTCCTGAAAAAAATTATATCGCGTTGTTTGAAAATTATGAGCTTTTAAAGTGCAACCAAGAGCTTTAGTGTAATAATTGTGTTTAGTGTCTCGGAGCAGTCTGTAATTTTACTAAATTAAGTTTGCGCAAAAATCTGAGTGCAGTGTGTTCACCCTAATATTCGTTTCAATCTTGATACAAATTTCTTGGATTTATTTCTATGTTAATATTTTTCTGTTGATCTATTTTTGTAACGTGTGTGGTTTCAACTTGTGTTCGTCCATTATTGTCTTCGTAACAGTTTCGATCAGCCAAGCGATGAGTTTTGCCGACGGCAAAGTGTTATTTTAGCATTTCATTGTAAATTACAGTTGTGACGCATGCAATCCAAGAGCTATCTATATGTTGCCAAAGAAATCAGATGGTCTATAAATCGACCTGGAATCCAATGTGCCTGTCGGGTGAATTTCCATAAATTATTGTGTTCAATGGGCGTATTCGTTAAATCGACCGTTCTCTCTCTCGAATAAATATCAAATATGCTAATTTTTCAATAGCTATCAGCTCAATAATTTATTTCAATCTTTAAATCCATTACAATTGTGATCTGAGTTATCGAAGACGCTCTATTGAAAAAAAAATATAAACCTATGTAAAAATTTTGGGTTTGCTGCTCATGATTGTAATTTGCGTTTTTGTTTAAGGGGTGTTCTGGTCTAGAGAATACTGTTAATTTTTTGAGATTTTAGAAAAAAAGTTATAATACTATATGGTGAGATTTTTAGAAAATTTGCTAACCAATACCCATAACTTCAGCCTTCCGACTAATCTGATCAGATTCTAATTTCAATCCAGTGAATTTTAATAAAAAGCCACAGCAAAGCGTGGCCGGGCCTGCTAGTATATATATACACATATCTACTAGCAAATATTAATTAAAATTAATCACATTATATATTAATAAAAAATAATCATAATAACCGAAAAATGGTCAAAATTTCACAAAAGCTCTAAGTTGCACTTGAAAGCTCATAATTTTAAAACAAAACCAATATTTTTTTTTTTTTAATTTTTTCGGAACAGTTACGATCAATATTATCAGACGTTGAGTTCTGGGACACTTTATAAAAATATACATTAACACTTTATAAAGTATGCAGGGTGTCCCAGAACTCAACGTCAAGCCGTTATTGAAAAATTTAAAACGAAGCCAATATTTTTTTAATTTTTTTTCGGGACAGTTACGATCAATATTATCAGTCGTTGAGTTCTGGGACACCCTGTACATTTTAAAATGTGTTAATAAAATATACAAGGTGTCCCAGAATTCAACGTCAAGCCGTTATTAAAATTTTTTAACAAATATTAATAAATTTTAAAACAAAGCCAATATTTTTTAAATTTTTTTCGGGACAGTTACGATCAATATTAATCAGGCGTTGAGTTCTGGGACACTCTGTATATTTTATATTGTGTTAATAAAATATACAGTGTCCCAGAACTCAACGTCAAGCCGTTATTAAAATTTTTAACATATATTAATAAATTTTAAAACAAAGCCAATATTTTTTACATTTTTTTTCGGAACAATTACGATCATTATTATCAGTCGTTGAGTTCTGGGACACCCTGTATATTTTAAAATGTGTTAATAAAATATACAAGGTGTCCCAGAACTCAACGTCAAGCCATTATTAATATTTTTAACATAATTGTAGGGTTTAGAAATCGCGTCACATCAATATGAAATTGTAAAAATTTATTTGAAATCCATACGTTTCGGCTAACATCCTGGCCATCAGGAATATACTGTCAACTGCAATAATTAAATTGAGTAAATAATATGCAACAAAATAATAATAATAATGATAGACAAATCTATAGAAAACACTTACAATTTGGTATCTATATTACATACAAAATTGCAAGTGTTACATATTATTTACTTAATTTAAATATTATCGTTGACAGTATATTTCACTATATAAAGGCTAAGATGTTAGCCGAAACGTATGAATTTCATAATAAATTTTAAAAAACATTTGTACAATTTTTTTATTGATGTATTGCCCGATCTCTAAACCCAACTAATATGTGTGTTAAAAAGTTGAGTTCTGGGACACTCTGTATATTTTACAACGTGTTAATATACAGGGTATCCCAGACCTCAACGTCTGATAATATTGATCGTAACTGTCCCGAAAAAAAAATAATGGCTTTGTTTTAAAATTATGAGCTTTTAAGTGCAACCTAGAGCTTTAGTGAAATTGTGACCATTTTTCGGTTTGTAAATTTGTAAAAAACATACAATTTTTTATTGATGCAAAGCCAGATTTTTAAACCTAACTAATTAATATTTAAAAACATATTCGATTTATTTCGAAGGCTGAATTCATGGGTATGGGCCTGGGTAGTTTTTTTTACAACTTTTTTTTGATATTCTTGATCTAAAAAAATGGTTAAAATCGGAATTTTAGGTTGAGAATAGTTCGTACTGAATAATGGTGTCAATAAAAAAGGTTTTGTAAAATTTTTATTTAAATCGGTGTAGTAAAAGTTGGGAAATCGTGGGTATCGCTTGAAGAAAAACAATGAAGATTATTGTGTATTTAAATTTTGTGTTTTTTTTTTACAATTGCGGTTTTTGTACAAATTCTAGACCAGAATACCCCTATATATACTTTAATCAAATATTGTAATTATTCATAACCTAGCAATCTAATGTGATTAGAAATCTTCTTAATTAATTTGATCAAGTTTGATGATCGCTACATCAAATATGAATTTTGCTGTGAAAAACCCAATAATCGTTAAATATATATATAACTGATATTAAAATATATAATGCACTTTAATCGTTTTAAACGTGAATATGATATTCGAATCTCTAAATATTTCTGAAATACAAAATGTATACCTATCATAAAAAATTTACCTTCACCGACGTTGCCGCACAGGTACATATGTGCATATAACTCGTTTTCGATTATGGTAATGGCGAAACGAAACTGCATCGAACATATTAAAAAAAAATGCTTTATGAAAAAAATTCTTTGTATAGTATAGCATAAACATATTTTGAATAGGATTATTATCAGTACTCATTCCATGCGCTAAAATTATGAAAAAAACAAGTGACAAAGTTTATGATAGAATAGAAGAATTTATTATAATCGCTGTATTGTATTATAGCATGGGACAGCGCGATCCTTTTGTTAAATGTTGAGTAGTTCTTACGATGTTTAAAATGAACCAACATGATAAAATATTCATTAAAATTCTGTATATGTTAATTTCGTATAACATTCAGTGTAATATTTCATATCATATTTTTAATACAAGCAAATGTGATGCAGACAAAAAGTCTTTGTATTTGTGTGTTAACCTATGTATCCTTTGAAAATTTTCAAATTTTTTAGGCAAGGAATCCGAACGTTGTTGGATACAACTTGATTAAATTTTATAAATTTTAAATAAAGTGGTGATCTAGGAAAAATTTCAGTGAAATGAACTACTAAATCCCAAATTAATAAGTTAATCGTTGAGAAACGCGGTGTGAGGTTGTACACAAAAATAAAATAAAAGTGAAATAAACAAAATTATTACCGTGACTCAATAGGTAATTATAATATCTTTTTAAATTTTCGATTTCTCTAAATTATTACTATCGAGTTACTTTTTTAATAGAATTGCTCACGCAAGAAACACTTATTTGAGCCGGAATACAAAAGTAGT